CCCCTACCCACCTTCCCCCGAACACGCTTCCCCTCCCCTTGGAAAAAACAAAACGAAACACAAGTGGCTTGTGGCCGGTTCTCTTACTCCCCTGTTATATCATACCTTAATCAAACTTCAATATTATATCGTCCTCTTGTGTACAAATTTTTACATCATATTATCTACGCTCCCTCATCCAGGCACCCATATCCTTGCACCCAAGCCCTCCGCCTTCACCGACAGATACCATTGCTTCTGACAGTTGAGAACCATATCTTGTCTTCTTTCCTGTCGCATATGCGCGCCCCCCCTTGACCCCGGGTGGGTTTGTCTGACGTAACTGCTAGATTTCCGACCTGAAGACGTACGCGACACCCGAACCAACAACCGAGTTCTCTAATTTTCTCCTGGGGCTCTGGCTGGACTACCAACTTATCCTCCCCTCAGTGCTTAGCCGGCCGACACGCTCTTTTAGTCTTGAAACCTCCTGAGTTACTTATCCATTCATCGCCCTCTCGGCCGCACATTCGCGTGCGGTTACAGCGCAGCGTATGACCGCCGTGGCTCAAGCGCCGAATTTTCTTTCCGTTCCGGGGTCATGGAATGGGAGTGGACCAAGTAAACTCAATTCGGTGACCCACGACGACGTTGCGCGCATCTTTATTAAGGGCCAGCGCTCATCAAGTATGTCTTCGGTCTCCTCGACATCTGGCACATCCAATGGCTCTGAGGCTGGCTGGGGAACCTCTGTCAACGGAAAAAAGAAGGGGGTGAGTCGCGCTGCTACTAGGGGTGCAAACGCAACCTGGGCTACAAAATCCGATATGATGAGGGTACCAGGCAGTTCAAATCAACCACAGGGAGGCTTGTTGGCGGGTTCCAATTCATCCATCAATGGCAATCACCAAGCCATGCCCATCCTACCATCTCAGCATCTTATATCTGGTCAGACACAACAAAATGGGGGCCCACTCCCACCTTCTTATTTGATGCTTCTTCCCTTGAATGGGACTTTTGATCGCAAATTCATTCCTCTCCCCTATTGGCCCGATACCCTACGCATAGGGCGTCAAACTAATAATAAGACCACACCTACCCAAAACAACGGTTATTTCGATTCAAAGGTGCTTTCTAGGCAGCATGCGGAGATCTGGGCGGAGAAGTTGAATGGCAGGGTTTGGATTCGCGACATCAAATCGTCCAATGGAACTTTTGTCAACGGACAACGGCTATCGCAGGAGAACCGAGACAGCGAGCCTCACGAACTTAGAGCGGAAGATGTTTTGGAACTAGGTATAGATATTGTTGGCGAGGACAACAAGACAATTATACACCATAAGGTAGCTGCAAGGGTTGAACATGCCGGTTTACAAACTCCGAATGTTGGTAACTTCGACCTCAACTTTGTGGATATCGACCCCATGAACAGCGTCTCCATAATGAACCCCCAAAATAACTCCGCCCCCCTCCAGAATACTAGTATTAGAGGGCGCTCCGGATCCCAGGGGTCACGATCATCGGTAATGAGCGGAGGACCAGCCAGTCACCGACAACCTCAGATGATGATCACGCCAGTGACGATGGAAATGGTTGTGAAAAAGCTCAACGTAAGCGAATATCCAATATTTGCACTAGGTATGAACCTGACTAATTATCTTCCGCGTAGTATGAGTTGCAATCAGCAAAGCAACAGTCTCAGGATTTACAAAGGACTTCAGAAGTTTTTGATTCTCTGTTAAGCTCTAGGCCAATTGTTGCATTGGGGCATATCGCCCCCAGTGCAAATCCGGCGCCCACCGAGCCTCTACCCGCTCCTCCGGTCCCTACACATACAGGGCTAGCCCAGCGCCAGGTTTCGCCACCCTCACTGATTCCACTTTCCACACACATTCAAGAGCACCCCAGGGGCCAGCAGTTATCTGATAGCAGCAGGAACACGCCAAAACTTAGGTCGGAGAAAACTGAGAGACCGGAACCACCGCAACATTTACATGGGCTTGTGGGTGCGCTAGAGGAGGCCCGCGGAGAGCTGCAGGCCAAGACAATTCGGGTTAGAGAGCTTGAGGAGACGCTGAAGAGGGAGAGAAGTGCGAGGGAGGTAGCTGAAGTTCGCGCTGCACAACTTGAGAACGCCTCAAGAGGTGTCCGAGAAACAGCTCGTCGGAGAGGTTTCAAGGAGTTTGACGCCGAAAAGATACGCGCCGATGAAGCTATCGGATTATCGGATGAAGTCCATGAGTTGCGAAACGAAAAGTCGTTGGATTGTCATCCGGGAGCTTTAGACGAGGAAGATAGAGATATCTACGATGACGATGATGCCGCGAGCGTCACGGTTGATCCATCCGCTCAGGCAGCAGCGGAAGCAGCTGAAAGATTGCAGCGGCGTGTCGAGCAGATGATGGCGGAACTGCAGTCGGCCAAGGAGGAGATTGAACGGTACAAGCGGCAAGCTGAAGCTTCGGAGCACGAAAGCATCAAATCGAAGAAGACGCTCGGCGAGATGGTGGAAAAGATTCGCAAGGACGAACAGGCCAGAAAGCTCTTACACGAGAGAGAGGTTGCAAGTCAGACCGACTCAGTGGCAGTCAAGAACACAGGCATCCAGGTCTCCAGCGAGGGTATAGAGGAAGCAGCGGAAGATTTCCATTTAAACGGCACTATTAAACCTACCGGGGGTAAGACAGCGGCTCTTAATGAAAGCCGAAACTCTGGGGAGATGATCAACAAACGAAGCAAGGAGTGCAGCTTGGCAATATCAAAACGAGATGCAGCTCCCTACGCCAGCATGATTGGGGTGATGCTGATCGGGGTCGGTTTGATGGCTGTCTTGAACAGATGGCATAAGACTGAGGGATAGAAAATTCTTGTGCAGTCCTCTTTGGAGAGCATACTTTGGGGGAGTTTGGTTTTCTCGGTACATCTAAATAACTTGTGCATTTAAAAAGTCTGAGGGAGTTGAGAAGGGGGAGCTGGGGATGTTCGGGCTCGAGAAGCCAATCTCCTGTTTTCATTTTCATTTTTGTTTTTCGATTAACCTGCACGCCATCGCCTTACAGGCTATATCCACTTTTCCTTTATTCTCTCACTGTATTCGTATGTTTGTCTACTCACTGCACTCGGCTTGTCTCTTTCCTCACACTCCGCCACACTTCGTTCGCATTTCTCTTTACTACTCTCTGGCCATCACCGGAGCTATTTGCTTTACTGCAGGTTTTTTGTGCGACGAGCGGCGTTTTCCATACCCCCCCTTTTCTCCCTTTCACTTCCTTTTCCTCGGGGCTCGGGTCTTTTTTGTGGGGGTGGGGGGTTGGTTTGGAGGAGGGATCGACTGGGCTGGCTATGTAGAAGTAAGTAGCTTAAGGAAGGAGTTTGTTCTTGGGGAAAGGTGTCATGCATGGGCGATTGGGTTAGACCATTTTTGGAATATTTTTCTCTGTACTTTTTCCCTGTACTTTTTCTCTTCTATGATACTCGCTTGGTCGACGGTTTGACCTGTTGCTTTCCATTCTCCTTATTCAACTTCAATTTTTTCGTTTCCGGTTCCCCCAATTGTTCATGTCCGGTATATTACTACGTGGGTGCTTCTTCTATCTTCCTACTTATTATGGTTACAAGGAGGACTGTTGGTGCACAATGTGAAGGTGAAATAGTACAGGCGCGTATATACTTGTACACCGTGCATATGTGTTTCCCCCACGCAATTACTTCGACACACCTCTAGCTCTCCTCGACCAGCAGGTCTGGTGGGATATCCTTGCGAGATTTCTTCCCGATGGAAGTACATCCGAAAGACTCGGCCATCGCCTTAACAAACCTATCCCCAACCTCCTCTACACCAACCCCTACCACACCCTCCCTCACGAAACTAGTAGTCCCCTTCCCTTCTAGCCCACAAGCTACAATCCTATCAAACCACCATAGATCGGTAGAAACATTCAACCCAACCCCAAAACTACTCACAAACCTCCGCATGTGCACGCCCACCGCGCCAATCTTCCTGTTCTCCGAAGTCCAAGCACCAGTATCCTCCGTGGTGAAGGCGCGAATACCCCACTGAGCACACGTCGCCACAAGCGCCCGTTCAAGAGTTCGAATATAACACCTAGGCCTCAAGCCGTGATGCCGAAGATCGGCAATGACGTAGGCCGTAAGCTGGCCCGGGCCGTGGAATGTAGTCAGCCCGCCGCGGGGAGTGTATTGCAGTTCCGCGCCCCTAACGCGGAGGTGGGATTCCCGCTCGGGGGTTAAGGGCGATTGTGACTCCCGGCGACCGAGGGTGTATACGGGGGGGTGGAATTCGGAGGTTATCACCGTGGGTTCCGGAGGCTGGGTGGTAATGAGGGTTGGCAATGGCGAGATGGGGATTAGGGTTGTTCGAGATTTGTGTGAGAGGTGGGCGGATAGGAGTGATTTTTGGAGGGCCGCAGCCGAGGCATAAGTAGTTTTTCCGAGATGGATATGGAGAAGTCGGGTTCGGGACATTTCGAGCCCCAGAGGAAGAGGAAGGGGGGATGTTGGTGTCAGAAGGTGGGCATGGCATTTTATCATAGGTGGAGATATGATGAGAATAATTGTGATATTAGGCCGGGAGGCAGGGTCACCGCAGTCTAGCTCACTAAAGATAGGTAACTGGCCCTAAGGTGGGGATGAGGTTATGATACGATGAGATGGAGCATCATCTCATATTATCATCTCTGAACCGGGGCCAGAGGTATGATTTGATAAATCCGTTGTAAAATCCCGCCATTGAGCCAATCACTAGACAGCACACCAGGAGAGGTTCCAAACATTGGTTGATCTCCGAGCTCAGGGACAAAAAGAAGCAAGAAGAAAAGGACCGCTACTATAGGAAGGAAGAGATCTTTCCACACATGGCAAAGCGTGAATGTGCCAAGTATGATACTTGGTACGAGTGCGGCCGATAGATATATCCGTCACGTGAAGTCTGATAAGAAAAAGCGGCACATTACAACTAGTGACACATATTTTCCACCAAGAAAATGGAGTACAATACTCACATTACTAGTTCGATTTTACCAGAAAAAACACAAAATGAAATATCCTATTACAAGAAATTGAGAAGGGTGAGAGAAAAATAATGGGAGAAGTAGCAAGAGAAAGGGAGAAAATAAAAATAAAAATATAGAATTGAGTGGATAAAAATTAAAAAGCTGCAAATTATCCTTGAAAGTTATTGTTATCTTTATTCTTGATAACAGGCTTGAGCTTGTTTAGAAGATTCAAACAATCTTGATTTATCAAGTCAAGCGGTATCTTCCTCTACTCTACTACTAAAGCTCTCTTACCTGCTCCTTTGTGTCCTGGCTTTGGCTATGAAATTCATACTCTTCTAGTAAATTCTATAGGTAGTCTCAAAGTGGGTCGATTTTGTTCAGGTCCAGTGACTGGGCAGGCCAGTCAACTGATCATATTCTGAACCTTTCTCATTCCTCCTTCCCAAGCTCTTTTGATGTTGTGTGTGTGGAAGTGTTATTCTCTACTACATATACCTTTCCAGGTATCCCTCACTTAATATGTTGAATAAAGGGATAATTTAAAAGTCTTAGAATGTGCTCGTGGTACACGCTCCGTCATTCCTATTTTCCTCCCACATAGTTTGGCAACACCACGTCAACTATCGGGGATACCCCCCACTCCCCTCTGCCCTCTCGATAGTTCCTGCCTAGGGGCACAGTTAACTCTTCTATCCTCTCCCGCTTTGGCATCGCTTGTCTCTTGTCTGCTTGATGGGGGAGTTATCTGGACTCGCCCAGTAGTCCTGTCTTGCTAATAGGAGCTCGCTTAGCTTTAGCATGGTTGGCTTCCTCTCTTCATTTCCAGATGGCACTGGCAGTGGTAGATGTCCTTCTTCCCACATACACGATCCCCATTGGGGAATGCCTCGGCTAGTAACTTCGGGGTGTGTCTCGCGGTGAGATTTGGCCATACCCTCCTAGTCGCTCGGTTCAAGTTTGGTCACCTTCCTCACCTCGTCCTTCCACCTTCCTACCGCTGGTGGGATTCCTTCCACTAAGTGACACTATCTCTCAGAGAACAAGGAACTACAAGAGAGACGCGGTAATACGGCAATAGGTGTTGGTTGGTTGGGTCAGCACTGGGGCCTTTGGCTCTTCCTCCTTTTTTCTCTTCGGTCGTGTCGGCTGGTACCCTACTACTATTGGCTGGTATCCTACTACGTCCCCCTCTTTTGCTGCTTCGGGCAGCCCCTTCAGCCCTCCCAGATGGACAGCTTGGGGCTCTCGTTCTGCCAATACCTCCTGCTTACAATGGGTGCTCTTTCCTTTCGGTTTCTCCTGCTTGCGACCATGGGCTATATACATAAGACATACGTTTATGTCACCTATACGGCGCACCTATTCGTTTTTTCGACTTCACCGGCTAGGCCTGACAATTGGTTTGTCCCAAGCGAGGGGCACGAGTTGGGTTGGTATCGGGTTGTTGTAGGCGAGGAATTGGTTTTGGCCTTTGGTTTGCAGTTACTCTGGTTTGGGTTTTCTTCTGTTCGGTGGGCGGTGTACTGTCGGGAAGGAGGTTTTTCCTTGCTTTGAAGGATGGGTTTCTGGGCTTTCTGTCTTTACCGTTTGTAGATAGCCGTGCGGGAGACTTGCGGGGGAGTTTTTTAAACTGAGGGCTGGTTAGGTATCAGTGGTTCTAGGAGAGACACCTCCGTGCTCAAGTCGTGAGACCTTAGGGGTGGGCACCTGGCTACTAGTGTTAGCCTTTCTGGGGTCAAGGTTTTTATTCTGGCTACTTGAGAACAAGGCTGGGTAGAGGTATGGGTCTACATGGCGAGAGCTGATATGACCCCCGGCCTTACTTTCATTAAAACGGATAAATAAATAAGATTATAAAAAATAAAAATAAAAAAAAAGAATGTGCTCGTGGTATAGTACTCAATTAATTCCTCCCTTGTACCTATCACCCTGCTCCCTAATCTGTTCCTTAAATTACCATTCTGGGTTTTGCTATTGTCTTTTGTAATCATAAGGTAGTTGTTCTGTACGATCTAACTGTACCAAGACTCTACGGAGTAGTATTATAGTTAGCCAGACCTGTGCCCATAGCGGTGTCAAGAGACTACCGCAGAGAGAATGGTGGTAGACCAGAGTCTACCAAGTAGAGGTACTATTAGTTAGGTACCTCAGTAGGACATACTATGTTATACTAAGATGTATGTAGGTACCAGTAAGGAGCAGGGGTTAGCCCACTGAGTAGCGTAACCCAAGTAGTTAATTTGTGAGTTACCCTGAATTGCTTAATAGTAACTCTATGTAGAATTACCCTACCTGCAGACCAGAGTTACCCTGTCTTGGGCCATTGGTTACCCTAATATTGAGCCAAGTTACTCTACATTAAAAGTAATGTACTACACGGAAGATCAGGGGAAGTTACTAGATTGTTTGTTACCCAGAACTACATAGGGTGTTTGAATCTCAGATTGTGTGAATCGCTCGTGCACAATCAGTTAAGGTCCGAACAAGCTGTAACTTAGAGGTATAGTGGCTAACACCTCTCTCCGGTCCTGTTATAAGTCTCTAGTACCATGGACTACAGCCAAGAGAATTGCTGTCAGTCTTGTAAAGGTCTACAAGTAGAGATGCTCTAGTAAAACCATATACACTCATGCTATACAGTCAACTGAATACTTTTAACAGTATCAGGATAGGTGATGGGGTGGAGAACCTGGAGAATCGTCTTGAGGTGGTTTCGTGCAAAACGTAGCAGAGCTGATAGAGTAATAATACTTCGAAGGTTGAAGTAGTATGTGAGATTACTGGAGGCCTAAAGGCAAGTTAACTGAAGTCTGTTGCCCTAAAAGAGTAATAATATTAGAGAATCGTTAAGGACTCTAAGACACTAGTCTGAGGTCAAAATAAAACCTACTTCTAGAAGGGTTGACTGTGGGTAGCCCCTATTAGTAGTCAACCTCTTAAAAGCTCAATTGAGAGGACTAAGTGGTTATTATCCACAATGATATGGAAAGAGTAGAACCAGATAGATGTTGAAGGGCTGTGGATGCTTGTAGAAGACTAAGTGTACAGTGCAAAGTGTCTAAAAGTAGACTCTCTAGTAATACAGCAATCTTGGAGCAACCAATCGAAATTGAACAATAATTGTAAAGACATGATAAGTAAGGAGAAATGATACATGCTCAGAATACATGTAACACTGTGCTTAAGGCTACAATCAATAGAGTAAAAATTTTGATACTTTATATAATTAATTAAATATTGTAATTCAAGTAATAGAAGAATAGCTAAGAAGAGTTTTAAGCTAAGAGAATGCGATAATGACTTTTATAAACAATATTTGAAAATTAAGTTATGACATACAGCAATCTAGCATAGTAGGCATACTTCTCGTAACTTGATTGAATTCAGAATTGTTGTAAACGGTCATTAGGTATTAGATACATAACTTGACCAATATTAAGTACTATCATATTTTAGTCATCTCTACCTCACAGTATTTTTTAGCATGGCTCTTTATAGATTCTTTTCCTTGTATCACTCTCACCAAAATTTTCACTTTTTAATCTTGAATGACATTTTTCTACAACTTTTAATTAAAAATAAAAAAGTACTAGCCTCTTCTCCTTTCTAACAGCTTCCCCTCAGCACTTTTCTTTTATAAATATTCTGTATTGTGGTTGACTGATTCAGAATAGTGTTTGACCTATTTAGAGGGTCAAGTTTGTGACAATTTGCACTATATAAAGGAGAAAACCTTTCACATACCCTCCGGCATATTGCATACCTTTCCAATAACCTCCTTGGCTAAAACATGCCCTCCAGAAGCAAAACTATGACCCTCAAAGTACAGACCTCCATAGACTAAGCATTTTCAAGGTTCATAAGGTCTGAACACTGAAGTCTAAATACTTCCTTCAGCAAGACACTGTGCAGAACACTATAGTCTAAGCGCTTTCCCCAGCAACCAGTGAAGTTAGAAGAAATAAGAAACAAAAACAAAGAAGAGGAGGAAGGATTTACGTATTTAAGGCATGATAGAAGTTCCAAATAATAAAATAAGAACTGACAGAGAATACCAAACTACCTATACATATTACTAATAATCCATATACAACTTCCAACTCTGAGTTAATATACAATGACGGTACTGATCGAGGAGGGACAATAATTTATTTCTTTTGATAAGTTGAAGGAAGCAATTGAGACGTGGTCTATAGAAGACCATTTCACATTTTTGGTAGTGAAAAAGGATGTCAAGTGGGTAGATTATTGTTGCCGGGCACGTAGTTTGAGTTGCCCATGGTGTGTCTTTGTATCAAAAACTATAGATGGAGAGCTACAGGTAAAGAGAATCAGCACTATACATACCTGTATCGCAGCTCCAGTTTCTGCAGGAGAGGTGGCCAATACACAAAATTGGCTTTGAAGAATAGTTCCACAGCACCTATTTATCATCAAAGCAACCAAACCAACTGAGATTGTGGAAAC